GGGGGGGGGGGGGGGGGGGGGGGTCAAAAAATATGAAATGCCAGAACATGTCGGTTTAATAAATAAATCAAATGAAGAAGAAGAAGAAGAACCTAAAGATCAGGATAACACTGTCTCCTTACAACCCTTCGATTTAAACAAAATAAAATGAAATAAAAACCAGAGAGAAGGCAAGAAAGATGAAACTCTAGATGATGTATCCCACAACCATGGTCACGATTTCCGATTGGTGTCTTCCAACGGCTCCCAACATCTGTTGATGACCACTATATCTACCTATGCGTGACCCCAAAACCCTTAATTATTGCTCTTTGCAGTTTTTCGTGAATTTATTCCAACAGCTGCCACACTTGAGATCCTGATCGTCTTCCTCCCAGTCTTCTTGCCAGGTGGGGGAAGGAAGGCAGGTGGTACGTGCAACTAGTTTTGAGATTAATTTTTTTGTGGTTGTTGGTCTTGTAATAATCTTGGCGGAGATGAGTTTTGAATCTTCTAGTGATTGACTTGATGATGTAGCTTATTATGATTCCAGAGCTTTGCTTATCCAAACTTTCACTAAAATATATTAACCTTATGCTATTTGATCACACATATATAGCATCAACGTGTCTCTATAGGGTCCATGTCCTACTCTTTTGAGAAATGTGTCACCAAGACCGTGTTGTGCCATATTTGTGTCTCGTAACTGGATTCATGCATCTAAGGATGTTAGTACCACATAACCCCCAACAAATCAAGCTTCTTGGGGAGTCAATCAATAAGAAGTTACACAAATGTGATTATTATCCTTACCACAAGACCTTGGTAGCACCTTGAACAAGAGCTGAAGAGTAACGGAGGAGGATATCAGAATTATCAAGTTGAACTTCAAACAACTGCAACATCAACCAGAGCAGATAACTATATACTATTCACATTACAAGAATGCCATAAGTAGTTCAGCTGCAAGCCTAATTGATGTTCAGAAAACTTCATTAAAGCAACCAAAAAAAACCTTGATTAATATTTAAAATTCCACAATAATGTCTCCTCTAATCCTAAGCTTGTCGAGTTTCAAAATTATTATACAAAAGTTCAAGACATCCAACAAAAAAGGGGAAAACATGCTGATATCACTTAAAATAATTTGCACATATGGCTAATTACTACTAAGCCAGTCAAACTTAATAAGAATCCATGTCAAGCACAAAAACAGTTGACATCCAAACAGAGACAAATTCTTTTGCACATGCATACAAGAAGACAACAAGCAGAAGTGCCGCAGAACCAAATTTGACATAATCTAACAAAGCAAGGCAGCATCTCTTTTTTAATCCTGGACCTTGTTGGCATAGCTGAAATATTTGTATCTCGTAAAAATTCCAAGCCTGGAACCCCCAATTAAAAAGGAAAGACAATTTGTCATGTAAATCCCATGATACCCTTGCACACCAACCTTTTGGGTAGCCATATCAACCTGTTTTTATATGTAATGGCAATAATGGCCCAAATTGCATAATTGAGAACCTGGAAAAAACACTTTCAGGTTCTTTTAAGGCTTCTTACAGATGAACTCTTAAATATATTCAAATGTGTGTATGCTTCTGATCATAGTAATCAATTTTACTGGTATAAACCATGCATAATTAAGAACTTTTTTTGCTCTGCCTTCCTACTAGTTATTTCTTTTATCTTCCCTCCTTTTCTCTGTCTAAGAATACCTAGTAGAATTACCCAGTTGGCCAACATTTGCTGCTTGAGAAGAACCTCCATATAGATCACAAGTACATGTAAAGTAAAGGTCTGGATGGTTTGTAATACACATGCAATCGGTAAGAAAGTTGACTTCAATTTGACCCTCAAACTTGCCTTCATTTGATCATCGAATAAAACATATAAAAAGTGCTTACACAGTTTAGTGCTCATTAATGGGGAGCTGGGAGGATGGGCAGGGTACAGACCTAAGATTTGAAGTAATATCTGTTTTTTATTCAATATTTAGTTAGAAATAGAATAAAACATAAAATGCCTATAAAAAGTGGACATATACAACAGGCTTCCATCTTCAAAAAGAAGTTAACTATTGCATGCAACATTACACAACTAAAAGAAAATTTTCATTCACAAATATATTAACGGAAACTTCCACACTATATAAGCTCACATACCCATTTGTGGAACAGAAGGGAAAAAATATTAGATGCAAACGACTGGCTCCAGAGTTGAACAATCAAATCTAGGATATGTTTCCCTTTTTCAGGCGCCCCAACAAAATAATCTGCTAGCACGTCGTAAAAGCATAATGGACCCCCAGTCTCTACCTCCGCCAAAGAGATTACATCTTCTCTGCCTAGGATTATATCTGTTTTAATCACAATGCAGAAAACGAGAATATTACAGCGAAGACTATTTGATAGAACTGTAGAACCCTTTACCAGAGAGCAAAAAAGAAATCTGAATTGCTTGTACATGACAGTGTTTGACAGATTATTATAAATCAAGAAGCAATACACGTTTACAGTAACTCAAACTAAATTACTCAAAAGCAAAAAAATCACACTGTGCAGCAAAGACTTACATTTGCAAAAACTTTTTTTCAACATTTCATTATATAAAAGATCTAAAACAGAGTAGACAGTAGGATGTTAGTTTAGATCAATTTAATGGTCATATTTATTAAGAACAACCCAACAGTAAGGCCTCTCCTGACACTGCAATACAAATCAAAATCTTTTTATGGTCCTAACTATGACAGCTCTTACTACCAAAACTGGGGATGCAGAAATTCCCCAGACTTCAGGCTTACACAAATAAACAATTAAGAGATATAAATCATTTGATCTGGATTAAAATCATTTATGTAATCACACAATAAACAATTAAGAGATATAAATCATTTGATCTGGATAAAAGTCATTTATAGTAATCTAAGCTTGTCCAGTGTGAACCAGATGTTAATAACATCTCGATTAATTATGAATAGTCATAAACTCTACAAAATAATGCATACCATGATACTTGTAAGGATTAAAAATTGAGAGTCCACAAAGTATGCAAAAGACATTTTAAAAAAAATTATAGCATGAACAATAGAGTCAAAGGACTCCGATACTTAAGAGCTTCTATTTCAGATATAGAAACTATTAAAAAAGATGGGAAAAGTTATGGATTTTTGAGAAAGTTTAAATTGAAACAATCAACAATTTATCTAGAAGCATAACTTCGTCTGTGTTGAGTTGTAGTGCCTATCTTTAACACAGTCAGTCCTATTCCTAGATAAAGGAGGAGGATTAGGTTAGGTACTTAACAGGCTGACACCTAGCCTAAAACTTTGTCAAATCCAATTTGAACATAAATCCAAAAAACATACGGAGAAACATGATTCATATAGCTAACCCCAAATAGTTGGGATTAAAGCTTTGTTAAGTTGAGTTGAGTTGTAATCTAGAAGCATTTTATAAGAAAATCCTAAACAAAGCATTATCTAGGGTGGGAATGAGACACAAAAGGGACATAGTGTGACCTTTAGTAAATCTCACTAAGGACCCTAACTTTGTGCTTTGATTCATAACATCGTATATGAAAATACGCCAATAAATAGGCATTTTACTTTGTTGACTTAAGTTTTTCTTCAAAATTTGATTAGATGAAATTTGTCCAAAAGAAAGGAACCCTAGCATGTTACAAGGGAAACAACATCAACCATAAAGGACATTTTGCATTAAATGAAATTGACCCCAAAGCAAATATTAAAAATGCCTAACTACTTGTCTCCAACATTCATCTTTTTATGGCAAATGCCTTTCAAGAGGAAATGGAACTAGTATAGCTTTTGTAGGGAATTTCAGACAAGAAAGAATCATCTAAATGCAGGAAGTTATGGTGGCTTCATATTGCAATTTGAAACCATTACTATCACATCATGATTCTCTTCACATAGACTTGCTGTCAAAGCTGTTTATACAAGCATGCCCAAGAACAACTTCCTACAATATCAGCATCATGTCTTTAGGTTCAATAGATTATAGATGCCACCAAAATCCGCTACATATTTATTGCCAACATTATCCGCATCTTGATGTTCACAAGTGACCATCTATATGTGTACATGCACCCATAAATAGGAACCATACATAGCAGGTTGTGAGAAGAAAATTGTGTCAGGTAAAAAGCACATTCTTGGAGAAGAAATTCAGCAATAAAGATAAAGAGACTACGATAAGGTTTTCTCTTTTGGAAAGAAATTAAGAAGAAGGTTTTTGACAAGCCGCTTCTCAATGTTATTGAAAATTACCATTGTTTGTGAGATGGCCACAATATCTTCCTATTCAAATGCTTTGTGGAAAATAAAGGAGCTATTCATATCCCATACGACATCACTAATCATTATACTTCTACTACCTCATACAGGCAATACATGAAATATAGAAGATCGAATTCTGGAAATTACACGAAGCTAATAAGCACAAGCAAACACAGCTGCATCGACTTACCCCTTGCTCGGTCATCAACTTCCAAAGCTATGTCCGCAAATAGCTCTTCCAACAAGTTGCGTCTCTGTGATGGCGAAACTAGTGCCTAAAAACAAATATAAAACAAAATCACATGAAAACAACTATAAAACTAAAAAATTCTACCTAGTTTCATTTGTCTCGGTAAGTAAATTTCTACCTAGTTTCCTATGTTTGTGTGTGAGGTATCAAAAGAATAGGAAAATGAAGAATACAAACCCGCTGAAGCTTTTTCTCGATTTCTTGTGTGAGAGCGGTGAGATAATCAGAGGTTCTAGGCGGTAAAGCTTGCTGCATTCTGATCCTACTCTTCGATGACAGAGCATTTGAAAACAGAGATCACAACACAAAACCCTATCCTCGAGCTCTGTAATCTAAATTGTCTTTATGAAATTTGGAAAGAAGGAAGACAAGGTTTTCAATCACTTGTCTTCAATCAGGTTTTCTTTTTTCTTATTTTTTTTGGGGCCTTTTGCTTCCAGTATGAAAATTTACAGGTTAACATTTTTAAAGAATAAATTCAACTTGTCTCGTGAAATGTTCTTATTATTTATTTATCTTAATAATAATAATAATAATATGTGATTAAACCTAAATTTAGCATGATTAATCGATTTAATTAGTACTTATGATAACATAATTACAATAACAACAACACAATCACAATAACATAATTACAATAACAACAATGTCCATATGGGTAGAGCATAAAAGGCGGTGGTTGAGAATAAATGTATTATGAAAGATGACAAAGTTGAAGTATACAATAGTGGTGAACGAGAATAAATGTATTATGAAAGATGACAAAGTTGAAGTATACAATAGTGGTGGACTGCACAGCAACACGATCATAGTTGCTCTAAGGGGTGATTGCTAGGAAAGGAGGTGCTCTAAAGGATGACAATGATGGAACATAGAGTGGTGGTGCACTACACAGCAACACGAGAATAGTGATACTAAATTCGATCGCAATAACATCTATAGTCACTGTCAAAATACAACGGGACTAAATAATAATATGAACTAGATAATCGCATGATCACAGTAATAATCACAGTAACATTACAATTACTAATATAACAATTTATAAGTTTAAACAAAAAAAAATACATAATTTTTTCATCGAACAAATCCAAGATCAATATATATCAAAACAACCAAGTAGAAATAGAAATCTAAAAAATCTTCACCCAAAAAATAATAAAATCCTTAATTTATACATTTCATCCAACGTCATTTGAACATAACATATAAGCTGAAAAATATCACCAAAACAAAAAATAAATTAAAACAGAGAATTTAAAAAAAATAAAAAATAACAGTGACCGAATTCTTGAAGCCCTCTTCTTCCTCGTCTGGAAGTCCAGACCACATGTCGCAGAGTGAATAGGTTATCTTAAAAAAATTACTCTTTATGTTCCTTATGCATCGAAATTCTACCCGAAACTACACCTAATCCACCATAGCTTGGCATGGAAGCATGACAAGGGTGGAGAGACTGACCCATTCTTCAATCTCTCTGTTGCCCATAAAAACCATTATCATCGCTTTTTTCATTATCGACTTCTCGTTGTAGAACCCTCAATCCTCTCCAATATCTTTCATGGGCCTTGCTTGCAGTCTGTTTGCTAGAAACAGAAAATGAAAACCATCGGGTGAGGTGCAAAGGTTGCGGCAGCGATACTTCTGTCAGTTTCAATTATTCTCCAAAACAAGGGAACTATTCCAACATTAAGTACGCTTGAAATGCAGATGACAAGAAGAATACAAAAACAAAAAATCGATATATGAGTACGTTCTTATGCATCCACACACACAACTTTTGGCGAAGGAACCCGAGACCTTATTTGATTCAAAATGGTAGTTATATCATTAAAAAAAATTTACAATTAGTTTAGACTAAATGGTAGAATGTTGGATTATGTTTGACTGAGGCGAAGGACATGGATTAGAGCATCTCCAACCTTGACTTAAATGTGGACTCAAATTTAAATTTGAGTCAAAATAGCTTAAAAAACTTTTCCAACCATGGACTCAATTCCATATCAAATCAAGGTAAAACTTATTCTTGACCCAAATTGAAATAGACTCAAATTCTATATCAAATTTCTAATAATAACTTTTTAATCTATTCTAGACTAAAAGACTTCTTTGACTATTTGTTCTCTGTCTCTTTTTGCTCTTTTTTACGACACTACTTTCATCGCCGAAGCTTTCACAAATCATTTGAAGGCTTGTAGGTAAGTTTTTTGCTCATCTTCTATCTTCTTAAATTCTTGTATTTTTCAAAATCCTAATTTCACTCATCTTTTCATACTGTATAAACCTTAAACTTACCTATCAAATTTTCTTTGATTTTTTTGAGTTAAACACTATCGGTAGTATAATTTTAAACTATCGATTCTTTCTGAAATTTTAAGCCTTCGGTATCCACATATTTAAAAAATTTGTCATTTTATTTCTTCAATCTTCATTTTTTGTTAAAAAAAAGTATTTTTTTTTATTTTTCAGACCATGCCCATGTTAACTATTTTTTTTTTTTTTATAAAAAAATAATAAGGGATTAGAATAATCTTAAAATCATGGGATGATTTCTTTATTTTCATATAGTGTTATATACATATTCATTTTTTTTTAATTATCCATTTGTGAAGAGGTGAAAATTTCATTTATTTTATCAAATATTATGATTTGAATGACAAAAAAATAAAATTTTAGATAATAAGAAATTTTTTTTAAAAATTTGAATAGATATTTGAGTTTATCCATTGAATTACTTTATACTAAATCAAACTTTTTACTCAAATTTAGAATCAAATTTGAGTTATGATTGGAGATGCTGTTAGACAAAATTTTTTTACACGAGTACAGGGTGGTCCCGCCCTAACCAGTCCCAGTCCCATAGCGTCACAGACCTTAATAAAGGCCAAAAGGGTCTTGTAGTAACATTGAAACTAAAACTAAAGAGGAGAGATGCCAAAGAAAAATACATAGGTCTCACCAGAGGTTAATGGATTGTACATCAGCATAACTGTTTTTTAAGGGCTAAAAATACAGAGACACTGTGGAAAGAGTATTGCTACACAAGTCTGATTTTCTGACTCCGACTCCAAATCGGGTTGCCTCAAATAAAACCTAAATAATTACAACCTAAATGCATATAATTTCTTGAATGAATGAATCCCATTAACTTTTTTAGTGAGAATCACTCATCCAAGCGATGATATACTTTAAAGGTACATTTTTTTAGATTTTATTTGGGTTTGTAACATTTTCCCCGGAGAGTAACCAGGTGGAGTAAAAGATCAGTTCACCAGCCCATCAAAGTTCTTTGAACCTTGTCTACAATCTGATTTCTTACTGCCATATTTGACAACTGATATTTGCTGTTCTCATCTAGCAGAAATCTGTAGACCTCCCATTCACGAGCTGCTGCCAAATGTCTTCCAATTTCAGCCTATAAACCAAAACATTGATGATTAAAGGTTAATATCCAGGTTTTATGCCTTCGCAAGCTTTTCAACTTTTCTAATAAATTCGCAATTTGTATGACATGATGCATGAAACCAAATCTCCTTCAGTGGTCTCATGATATGGACATAAAGTCACAATGTGTTAATTGATCTTTCGAATCACTTCTTCATGATGTAATGTATTCTTACCGAGAAGATGCATATTCCAAGACACTTTAATGCAAGTGTGACATCAAAGAAAACCCTTGGCCTTCCCTTTCCAGATAGCTCCACAGGGTTAGCAACCAGAAGTTCAGTATCTGGCCCACGGTTTGTGATAATAACACGTAATGGGTGAAGCATTTCTACCTTCAAGCGAGAACAAAATGCATCTTGTTTCTCAGGATCCACAATCTTTTTACCATCCTTTTGCTGGACGAATAGGTCTAATTCACGATAACCCTTGTTAACTGGTGAGAATCTTCCATAAGCTATCTAATAAAAAGAACAAAAAACATTTATCAGCAAACATAATGGTTGATGCATCTGCCACAACTGGAAGTTGTACACTAAAAAAATTTGGAGGAAATTGATCCACCGTCAAATTTTAGTGAACAGGAAAATAACTAATTTAGAATATCCAACTGTCTCCAAAGTTTGGCAGAAACATCTGATCAAGGATGTAGTAAAACAGTAACAAACGGAAAAAAGAAAACTCTGATCATGTACAATAAAAGTGGTCAGACAAAAAATAAAAGGTCAACCCACCGAGCCACTAATACATGGAGTATTATTTGCAGTATGCTTATGACACCAAAAATAACCAAATCCCAGTAGCTACCCTAAATAGGCTGAGGTTGATCAGCTGGCTATAAAACTGGGGAAGAAGTGAGTACACTCCAGAAATGATCTAGAAAATCGACGCCAGCAGGGAAATGATCAACTCTGTGTCCGGCTCAAATTTCAACGAGTAGATACTGCTTCATTCAAAAGTGAATTGTGGATTGTAATTTGGTTTTCTACTAGAAGCATTGCCAAAACAGACTAGCAACTTCTCAAATGCCTCTTAACTGTGGTCTAGATTTGCAAATCCTTAGTACTTGCCACCAATGTACGCCACTAGAAAAGTAAGGAAGCCAGCTAACTTGTAGTATTCCTTCAGCAATGGGACTTGGGGTGAACAAGGGGGAAGCAATACCTTTTTAAGAAAACTTTAGCACTTGGGGCAAAGAAACACTGATTATGTAAGTTTGGACAAGATATAAAAATTGGCTGGAGCGAAATTACTGAAATAAGTAAAACTGGATTGCAGATTAGGGTAACCCTAAGCCAATGAATGGACTACCTTCATACCTCCAATTAAAAGCAGCTGTTCAAACCTTACAACATTCACAGAAGATAAAAATCAGTACCTGCATATTGCAGTCTTTCAATGTTCGCAGAATGTCGTAGAGAAAACCCTTGTGATCAACACAGTAAATCTGAAGCAATGTATGAGCTGGACTCAGAGAATTGTCTATCATTACACTGGCCCTCTTTAGTTTCGTCACATCTGGGCTAAAAGCCTGTGAACGAGTTTCCTTATCTGACAGTTCATTTCTAAACAATTCGTCAGTAATGACTGCAGAAAGAGAAGAGATACCCTGAAGACTGTCATACTCAGGACCAGCCAACTGAAGTGTACAACTAGCACATGATTCGCCTAAAACAGCATGCAATTGCTCACTTGTCTCATCTTGTCTCTCTTTTGTGTGCAAGAGCTCCCTGAAATACATTGCAGTGGACGGTGTATATGGATAATCAGCTCCATCCCAATTAACTGATATAATTAACACAGAAATCATGAGTTTCTTTACTTAATATGATGCTAAACAACCTCCAACCGGGTCCTTATACATTGACCCAACTCCTCCTTCAACATTTTACACCAAGTAAAGACTGGCATAAGGAATAATAATGCTGAAAATTACTATAGTGGACTTCAGGCCCAAGATGTGAGTGGAGAAGTTCTAAGAATTCTGTTCTGGTAGAAATCAAGATGCCACCATCTACAAATTCGGAACTAGAGAGTTTAGCAACTCAGTGCATGATGCACTAGTATTTTTTTAAGAATATAACAAAATCAGATAGTAATTTCCATCACTGTATATATCCAGGTGATACTTAATATCTATTAGTTAAGCAGAAAGTGAAAATTCAGAATATTCATGTGATCCTGCAATCGAAAGTAAAGACCACTTTTCAAAAACAAGCTCCCTCCTTTGCGGAGATACCAGGGCACTGGTATTGTGAAACACTCTTCTACACATCCTACCTAGGAACAAGAAATTTCTAAACTGAATGTTCAGACATTTCATGGAAGCTGCACTATCTTAGATGCATCGTAAAAAAAAAAAAACTATGTCAGATGCAATCAAACTGCATTAAATATGTTCTCATGTAAACATGCAATACAAATCAAACTCTCACAAGTTATCTGTTATGAAGAAGAGATCAAGAACCCGGCCATCCGGTGTTGTAGTCACTTTTACTCTTTGAATCGTAAGTTCGAGCACAGACAGAACTCGAGTGACATCTAAAAAATTTGAAATGCAACAATATCAGAACAACATACAAGTTCATCAATCAATCAAAACTGGAAGAGAGGACATTTTCCATTACCATGTAATAATCCTTTCCTGTCTAGGCTACAAAACCTCAACAAGTATACTGGAGGAGGTTCAGGGTTTGGAGATGGCTGGTTCAAGTAAAATGACACCAAACATGATGGACATATCGATAGAAGGCGGTCTTTCAAATTCAGCCATGTTACACCAGTTGAGCTAGAGTGAGGAACCACCCATAATATTATGTAGCACCATAACCCATCAGTTGAGACATCTAAATCAAAGTAGAAAAGCTTGTCAATGCATGCTTCAAATGATTCTTGTTTCTTTTCTTTGGGAGGGAGATGGGTTTGGTCAAGCATTTTAAGAAATTTCAACCAATTTAGTCTACTGGTACATAATGGAAGCATAATATCAAGCAGAACAAATCAAAACAACCTTGTATATGACTTGACTCTTTACACTTAAGAAATCAAAGCTTTTTACTAAGTACATAATTTGGAAGCAGGAAAATAAATAGTTGAAATTTAAGTGCCGGAACAAAAATTACAATAAGGAAATGGAGTACTTTGTACGCCGGAACTCAAGCATTGCATACTAAACACATGTAGAAATAATAATTGAGCCGAACTAGTGGCATCCGGCTCAGACTCACCTCGAGCTCAGACTCATCAAGAGCTCGACTATTTTTTAAATAAACTGAGACTTATAGCTCTCCAAGTTTCGATGTTTGATAGAGCTCGCGATCAATCCAAAGTTATAGTGAATTAGGTCAGCAAATTAACTTAGTAAATTAAGTCCCAATGCTTAGCTTAGTAAATTAAGTCCCAATAGCATTGCTCAAAGAAACACGAGTACGAATTTGACTTATTTTGAATTTGGCTCGGGCTCAACTCAATTTAAACGAAAGTAATTTTTTAAGCTCGAAAACGAGCAGCTTGACTCAAGTCGCAAAGTCCTAAACACATGAAACAATAGATAAACGAAAACATAATTACAGTATAATGAAAGTACAACATAATTTTCAGAAGTGTGGTTCAAAACTACCTCCTTTGGTAATGTAGAGTCCGAATTCAAGAATGGTTCGGCAGATATCGCAGGCAAGTCCGGTCTTATCAGGACAATTAACCGTAACTACGTAAGGCTCACCCGGTATCTTCCCTTTCTGAATCAAAACAGCGTCGTCACTGGGCAAAGCCATGTAATAACAACTCCAACCCCGAGAAAGAACCTCTCACCCGAGCACTGCTGTTAGTACATCTTTGTTTGAACCGTCTCTCGCGATGAACAGGGTGGTTCGCAGGCGGAAATGCAGCGGTGTCTGTTCATTGCTGAGCCGGTGTTTCTACTATGATCTGGAGAGAGAGAGAGAGAGAGAGACAGACAGAGGGGTCGGGGAAGACAATAACCTGTGGGTTGTGGCCAGCTAATTGTGTCTGTCACGTGGTCATAAAGACATCACAAAGACTCGTTGGTTTGGNAGGGGTCGGGGGAGACAATAACCTGTGGGTTGTGGCCAGCTAATTGTGTCTGTCACGTGGTCATAAAGACATCACAAAGACTCGTTGGTTTGGGTTTCGACATGTGGCGATTATGATATATTGTTCCATGAATGTCAAACGCTTTGTCTTCTTGGTTTTTTTTTTGCTCTTTCTTTTTTTTATCATAACAAAGATATTTGAACCCCATTATTTATTTTTTTACATAAATTATACAATAAAACTGTTCNAGGCTTTGTCCTCTTGGTTTTTTTTTTGCTCTTTCTTTTTTTGATCATAACAAAGATATTTGAACCCCCATTATTTATTTTTTTACATAAATTATACAATAAAACTGTTCATAGTTTAAATTTTATCCTACTTATCTTTTCTCCTCTAAAATTGATGATGTCTAAAATAAATTTCAAGTGTTATTTCAGGAGTTCAGTTCAGACCGGGAAGTCAGACATATTAACTGAGGTCAGAAGGCAAGGGCTGAATGTCTCTTGAGGCAATGCAATGGCTAGATAACCACAAGAGATTCCTAAAGCATTGGAAAGCTATAATTAAGACACCTAATCTCAACCAACCAAGATTTTCTCCTAAAATTAAGGAGAACTTCACGAAGTAAAGACAAGAATCTCAGTCAAGATCCCACTGAATAGGGAACAACCCTATAAATACTACATAATGCCCCCAAAGATGAAGGAGGACCCTAGAGGCAAAAAATAGTCATTGTACTCTTGTAATCATCATTATTGAAAAGCAATGAGCAAGAGTCTCCATTAAAGAGTGGATTAGTCGAACTCCCGAGCTGGTGAACCACTATACTTCTTCTGTGTTAATCCTCCCAGCTTCTAGAAAAATATTTCTTTCACTATCATATCACTATCACTACAAAGCATAATTACGATTCACTACTCATACAATTCGGTTTACACCATCAGTTTGACGCCGTCTGTGAAAACGACTGTTCCTGTTACAAATAAAGCTGATTTTTTAGTGACTAATGGTAACAACGCGAAATATGAGCCGAAGTCAGGCCAATTCTCTACGGAAGCAAAATCAACAGGAAGCCGCAAATAACAGGCAACCCGAAAATACGCAAGAAGTCGATCCCCCCATAGGGGGCCTTCCTATGAATCATGAGATGAAGGCCCTTCGTCTTGTCAATGAACGTCTGATAAAACAGAACGAAGAGCTCTTAAAACTCCTACAATGCCCACAAGAGGCGCGACCGACCCAAGGAAGTCAGAATAATCCACCATCAAGGGAGCAACTGTATCTCGACCCCTCAGAGAAGTTAATGAGGTGGGAGAGAATAACTAGACCTTGGGGCAAAAGCCTCGCCTACCCCCTAGGAATGGTCAAAACGAGGAAGTGCAAAGTCAGTATAAGGAAGGGGAGAGGAACGACTTCTTCCCTTATCAACATGAGAGAAGAGAATACCACTAGAAGCAACGTTTCAAAGATATCTAGTAAGAGCTCAGCCAAATAAAGGAGGCAGTGGAGAGCAAGGCCCCAGTCTCTATGGATGTCTTGGTACAGCAAACCAAATTCCCATTCACTGCGGGGGTGCTACATTTTCCTCTCCCACCTAAATTCAGAATGTCGTAGGTGGATGCTTTCGATGGGACAAAAGATCCCGTGGACCACCTCAACACATACAAAAATCAAATGGAGTTGCATGGATATCAAGACCCAGTGAGATGCAGGGTCTTTGCTATCACCCTGAAGGGCTCAGTCTTAGCATGGTTCAACAGACTCCCCCCAGCCTCGATTTCCTCTTTTAAAGAGCTATCAACCTCGTTTGTGTCCCACTTCATCGGAGCTTGGACTTATAGGAAACTGAGCTACCATTTGTTAAATGTGAAACAGGGACCTGATGAGAACCTACGGTCTTATATCCAACGGTTCAACTCAGAATCCTTGAAGGTAGATGTCCCAGATAAAAAATTTGCTATCACAGCCTTCATAACAGGTCTGGGAGTTCAGTAAAAAGATTTGATATTTTCCATCTCAAAGAACCTCCAGGCTAGTATGGCGGAGATGCTTGCCAAAACAGAAAAGTACAAAAATGGGGAGGAAGCACTCCTCTCCAAGGTCGGGAGCTTTTCGTCGAGAAAGGAGAAAGGGAAGGAAGAAAAGAAGAGAGAACGAAGTCCCAGAAAGGAAAGAAAGCGAGGCAGGTCTCCAAGAAGAGACAGAAAGCGTTCCTCGAAGAGAAGAGGAAATGTCAGGGATCACCTCGGCCCTCCACAACCAGAGCTACAACCAAGGTATGCACCTCGGCAGCTAACTCTTTTGACTACTACGGTGTCTCAGATACTGTATGAGGTGCAAAATGAGAGGTTTTTAAGGTGGTCACCCCAGATGAAAGTAGACCCGGTAAAAAGGGATCCTACGAAGTATTGTGACTTCTATAGAGACCATGGTTATCACCGATGACTATATCCAATTGAAGAAGGAAATAGAATTTCTAATCCAGCGAGGGCAGCTGCGACGCTATGTGGTCAATGATAATCAAAACTGAGCTCTCCCACCTCCACCCCCTCAGCATCAAGCACCGGAGCCACACCAGCAATCTATGGGGGAGATCAGAGCGATATCTGGAGGATTTGCCAAATGAGGAGGGTTTAGCTCTGCTAGAAAGGTCCACTTGCCAAAAATTAGAGCCATAAAAGCTCACAAAGTATATATTGTGTCTAAGTCTCCACGCTTAGACACGGTTATCACTTTCTCAGATTCATATCTGGAGGGCTGCCAATATCCCCATGATGACCCTTTGGTGGTAAGAACTATGGTGGTCAACAGAACTGTTCATCGTGTTTTGATTGACAATGGCAGCTCGACAGATATCATTTTTGCTTCTGCTTTCGACAAAATGGATATAGGAAGGGAAAAGATTGAATCAGGAAGTGCCCACCTATTGGGATTCTCAAGAGAAATAGTGCTGCCCCTGGGGTCAATCCAACTCATCTTGACCTTAGGTGACCCACCCTGTCAGACTACAATAACTGTAAAATTCCTAGTGGTTGATGCACTTTTAGCATACAATATGCACCTTGGAAGACCCTCGCTCAATTCTATAAGGGCTATACCCTATGCCTATCACCTTGTAGTGAAGTTTCTAATAGAAAACGGAGTTGGAGTGATCCGAGGAGACTAGTGCGTAGCACGAGAATGCTACATGGCATCCATGAGAAATAAGGAGGTCGAGAGCATCCAATTGGATGAGCTTGACATGAGGGATGAACTCGAGACCAGGCCAACACCATAAGAAGAACTGGAACCCATTCAAATGGATAAGGAGCCAGAGCATCTTGTTTACGTTGGATCCAAGCTGAGTAAGGAAATCTAGGATCTCTTCATCCAATTCCTGAAAAGGAACAAGGAAGTTTTTGCATGGAAACAAGAGGACATTAAAGGGATTGATCCCTCTGTCATCACTCATAAGCTCAACGTGAATCCAACCTGTAAGACCGTTAAGCAGAAGAGGAGGAGTTTCGCCCCGGAGCGTCAGAAAGCCATCAACAAAGAGGTCAACAAGCTCCTTCACGTGAAAGCCATTCGAGAAGTGGATTACCCAATCTAGCTAGCCAATGTAGTCCTAGTCAAGAAGACAAACGGCAAATGATGTTTTTGCATTGACTTTACAAACCTCAACCGTGCTTGCCCGAAAGATAATTTTCCTTTATCCTGGATAGATTTGATTGTAGATGCCACTGCGGGACATGAGTTCCTCAGCTTCATGGATGCCTTCTTTGGGTACAATCAGATCAGGTTGGATCCTAGTGACCAAGAGAAGATATCATTCATAACTGAACAAGAGACATATTACTATCAAGTGATACCTTTCGGGTTAAAAAATACAGGAGCCACTTACCAGCGTCTGGTGAATAAGATGTTTCAAAAATAGATTGGAACCTCCATGGAGGTCTATATTAACGACACGATGGTCAAGTCACTGAGGGTAGAGCTCCCATTGGACACCTAGTAGAGTCGTTTTAGGTCCTGAGAGAATACAAGATGAAGCTCAACCCAGCTAAGTGTGCCTTTAGAGTGTCAGCATGAAAATTTTTGGGCTTCATAGTTAATAGCAGAGTGATAGAGGCTAACCCAAAAAAGATAAAAGCAGTGTTAGATATGCAACCTCCCTCCAACACGAGGGAAATACAACGTTTAACCTGGAGAATAGCTGCCCTGAGTCATTTCATTTTCAGATCAAGCGACAAGTGTCAGCCTTTCTTCCAAGTCTTAAAAGAAAGCCTTTAAATGGGGTGCTCGGTGTGAAGAAGCCTTCAAAGCATTGAAAGAATACTTGAGCTCCCTACCTGTCTTGGTAAGTTCGTTAGAAGAAGAAGTACTTACCCTTTAACTAGCTGTCTTAGAGTTCTCAACCAGCGCAGCGCTAGTAAGTGAGAAGGATAGAGCTCAGCAACTAGTTTACTACTGCAGTCGAGCTTTGAGGGGGGCAGAAGAAAGGTATCCTAAAATGGAAAAACTCATTTTAGCCTTAGTGACAACTGCTAGGAGACTAAGACCCTACTTTCAGGCTCTTACTATCGAAGTCCCAATAGATCAACCTATAAAGCAGGTGTTGCACAAGCTAGAATTTTCAAGGAGACTGGTTAAATGGGCTGTTGAACTTAGAGAGTTTGACATCAGATACAAGCCAAGAACAGCCATTAAGGGGCCGAAATTAGCAGATTTTATTACAGAA